TGTCATTCATGGACATAAAATGTTTTTTGTTGGGGTTTTTTTTTCATGGCAGCTTTTGAGACCGTTTTGGGTTTTGTCATGAAATTAGGCTGAGCAGTCAGGCCACTGTGATTAAGAGAGGGTTTAAGAAGTGCTCACTTGTAACTTCCTGATAGCATCACATTCAAAAGCACAGACTATTGACTCAAACATAGGCTGCAGGTAGTCCAACTTTTCCAAAATGGCACATTATTACATTCCATTGCCATAAGGGTTGCTTAGTCTCCCAGCACAGTCTCAAGTGTATGAAGGTCCAGCAGACAGGCAATTAATCTAGGAGTAAGTTAAACAGAGCCGTAGAATGTCCTTACCAAACAATTGTCTCTAACCAAAAAATTAGAAACAGACTTCATGAGGGTGACCTGACGGCCTGACATCCTCTAGTGGGATCTGTGCTTCTTGCCCAGCACCATGAATGATGCTGGTGAAGTGGCTGCTGGGTTCCTCCTGGCCTACAACAATGTCCAACCTCATGTGTCCAGGGAATGCAGCTATTCCTGGAGGAACTGGCTGACCCCCACGGTTGGCTGACCTGAATCTAATAAAATATCTCCTGGACATTATGTTTTGGTCCATCTTGGATCACCAGGTTGCACCTCAGACTGTCCAGGAGCTTAGGGATGCCCCAGTCTAAATCTGAGACCAGATTCTCAATGACAACATCCATCATCTCATTAGGAGCATGCCCTTACGTTGGTATTTGGCCTGCATGAAGCACATGGGAGCCACATAAACTACTTAATACCAGTTTGAGTTGCAGCAATGAAATTTTGGTGAAATAAACAAGCCTGCCACAAAATTTTTCACTTTAAACTTTGGGGTGTCTTTGAATTCAGCCCTCTGTATATTGATCATTTCCATTTCCATCAAACAATGTTTCATTCCTAACATATTACCCAGTCCATAACAGTATAGATATCCAGCATCATTCTTTCCCTATTGACATCTAATGTGTTTTCCAAGTGTTCCTTTTATTGAGCAGTGAGCAGTGTGTACTTCTAGTCAGCAACATCAGCATCTGTTTATCTACAGTTCAGCTTTTGCCATTATATTGTGACCAGTTCTTTTCAGGGAGATGACTTCATGGTCTTTGGTGGGTAAACACATTAGAAAGCAGTTGGATATAGTAAAGAGCGTCAGTAGGTTTGAATGACTTTTTGTTCAATAGAAAAAGGTTAAAAATCAGAAAGTGGGTTAATCTGACACAATTAAACAGCATTTAGTTTTGTCTTCCTATGAAATGAATTATCTTCAGTTTGATCTACAGACAGAAAGTATCTCTTACTTAGTGTCTGAGGGTCTAGGTTCAGTGTTGAACACTGGAGGCTGAGCTTTGGACCAGTCACTCTTCATAGATAGACAGCTGGATCCTGGAGACTCTGCTCTGTAATCCTCTTGATGCAGATCCCTCATTTTCAGTGCATCTGAGAGAACCCGGCAACACTGAAAGACAAAAACTTCACACCTAGAACAGGAAGTAACACACACATACACACTGCAGACAGGAGTCTAGAGTGGAATAAACCAAGCTGACAATTCTCATAAATGAGCAGATCCTTATTTTCTCTTGCAGTCCACGGAAAAACAGCAGACTCCACGTTTATTTTTCTCCACCATGCTCCTGTGTATGCTTGTCACAAGCGCGTGTACCAAATGTGCTACAGGTACAAAGATGTTCAGAATTGAGGCACATCTTTTCATTCAAAAACAATTGTTTATGATTATTCTTGCACCATATAAATGCACAATAACAATTACCTTCTTTCCCTCCTTGAGCTCCATTTCTGTAAAATGACGTTTGAACTCTAAATACTTTCACTATTGAGCAGAAAACCACTTCCTGCCATCTCAATTTTCAGGAAATCACATGCATGCATTACTGTACACGAGAACTGTTTATCACTGAACAAAGCCACACAGTTACAGCAAGTCTGCCACACAGAAAATGGATGAATATTTTTCTTGGTTTTATGGAAACTCAGAACCTGTAGAGTTACTTGGAGATCCTGTGATACACCACCTAAATGGTTTTCTCACTTATCATTTGGAGATTTTCTTTGATCCCTCACTGACACTGAATCTTTTGTAAAAACAAACAAACACACAAAAAAAAGCAATAATTGAAAAAAAAAATAGGAGTAGAAATGACATACACTATAGGTAAAATGTCAGCTATTCTGGTGGTTAACATGGAATAA